CCCCCCATCCCTTCCCTGTGCCCCCCATCCCTTCCCTCTACCATCTGCTTTCATCTTCTGTCAAGTGGTTGAGATCCATGGAAAAGGATCCATGGAAGGGGGGAAATTTTTCCAGGATTTGGTTGGATATCAGAAATGTTGAAGAAGAAACAGCAGCAGCTGTAAAGTTGATGGTTGTTGGGGTTTTTTTTTTGATGGCTGGTTTGGTGTTTGGTGGCTTTTTTTGGTGTTAAAGATCAGCAATATTTGCATCTCAGCATCTTTGGTGCAAGTGTTTTTGAGATCCAGAGGTTGGGAGGAGGAAAAACCAAACATCAGGACAACAATTGTTCAGTAAAAAACAATTGTTTGGTAAAGAAATTTGGTTTTTTAGTGAAAGATTGTTTAGCAAAAAAAACAGCTGTCCTGGTAATTCAGGTGCTCCCCTGTGAAGCCCCAGCACTGCAGCTGGAGAAGATGAAATCCAATGGGAATAAATGGGCTTTTTCCAGGTCTAACCCTGTTTTATAGGATCACATTCAAAGGCAGAGGGTCTGGAGAGCTTGTGCTGCAGCTGCCCTGCTGTGTCCTCTGTGAGCACTCATTAATCAGTTGGTTTTGGTCAGGATCAATCAGGAGGCATTTTCTTTGTAAAGGGGTGAATTCAAGACCTCTCCCTCGCGAGTGTGTGTGAGTTGGGAGAAGGGAATTCGCTGGGAGAGCTCCAGTCTGTGTCCAAGTGGTGTTCCCCCAGGAAGGACAGATGTGCTGATTCTCTGCCCTCCGTTCTGTGGCTGTTTCCAATTCACTGAGAAGATTTAAAACTAAAAAAAGTCGAAGTTTTTTTCCGTGCTGGTTGCAGGGAAGGTCAAAGTCAGGCTGGTTTAGGAAACTCTACTTTAACTCCACACATTTGCCCTCTGAGCTGAAATCACCCACTGAAATCATGTTATAAACCAAACCATTCTCCTTAGAAATTAAGTGATTTCTGTCTGGCCTTTACCACCTGAAAGAGGAGGAATCAAAAAAAAAACAAACCTGGGGGGAAAAAAAGACTGGGACAAGTATTTGGCTTCTAAAACAGCCCAAAATAAGAAGTGGGACATTTTAAATCAGCTCTGCTGTGATGATGTTTAGTATTTGGTGTGATGAGGATGTTCAGTATTTGGTGTGATGAGCATGTTTAATATTTGGTGTGATGAGGATGTTTAATATTTGGTGTGAGGAAGATGTTTAATATTTGATGTCCTGCAAGGAATGAGAAGCAGTTCCTGCCCTGCTATTGTGTCCTCTCCCACTGCTGGTTGTCCTCTCCAGAGGGGGATTGGCCTCTAGAATGACAAATCCCAAACTTTCCAGAGCTCAAGGAGTGTTTGGACAACGTTCTCAGGGTCGTGGTGGGATTTTGGGATGTCCTGGGCAGGGCCAGGTCCTTTCCACCCCAGCCCCTTCTCCGATTCTTCTCCTTGAAGTGCTGAAAATGTGGTTTTTATTTTCTTTTTCCTCCACGACCCTTCCATCCCCACTTTGTGCTAACTGCCTGTATTTCCAGTATTTCAGTTTTCCCCTCGTTTTTGCACAGGAGGTTTTTTGCATTTGTTTTTTTTTTTTTCCCCTCCCCTCTCATGTCAGTCCTCCCAAAACCCAAATTCTTTTTGCCTTTGCAGACCTTGCTTTTAACTTTGGGATCAATGGCTGGAGTTCTGGAAGGGAGGGATGACTGATCTGCTTCAGCTCCTCTTGCAGTCACTCCCCTACTCTGATCTTTGTCTCCAGATTTTCTCTTTGCTGCCTTCCCGCCCCAAAATGGTCCCTGGGGTTATTTCCAGGCAGGTGGGGAACAGGGAAATTTGTGTGTTCAGTGCTGTTTGCACTTTGAAATTGCAAATTGCTTGGAGTTTTATTGGAGTCCAATCAACATCCATGAGAATGTGGGGGAGAATTAATATAAAGCTGCAATGATTATTGCAAGGGAGGAGAGTCCCAAACACTGTTTAAACCCTTTTGTTTTAAAAGACTGGAAGAAGTCAAGAACCAGCCCTGGGAATTTATAGAATCACAGAATCCTGGAATGGTTTGGGATGGAAGGGATCTTTTTGATCCCCAAAACTCACCTCACTCCTGAGTGTATTAAAATCTCTGAGCCCCCCAAGCACATCATTGCACGTCTGGCTTATTATCCATGGAGTCATTTTGATACAGAAGTATTAAAACATCACTTTTATCCCTGGTTCCCACCGTTCTGCTCCCAAAACACTTGTTGCTTCAGCTTTTAAAAGCCCCATTAGTTGCCATAGAAATAATTTGCCTCCATGAAGTTTGTGAAAAGCCTCCCTCAGGCTGTGGTGGGTGGGGACATGCAGCCCTTTTTTTTCCCCCCCATAAATTATTCCTGTCAGGATTTCACCCAGAGGTTGGTTTGAGTTTTTGACAAAAATTCTGAAAATCTCTTTTCTGGTTGGGGCAGTTTGATCCATTTCTCCCAGGCTTTATCCCAGGAACCAGGTGTTGTCCTGGCCTTGCATTTCATCTTGGGGTGGGTTTGGTTAGGTTTTTTTTTTTTTCCTCTCCTGACCCTTTGGAACACCACTGGCTTCACCATTCCTGGATGTGTCCAAAAATCCATGTGGACGTGGCGCCTGAGGACGTGCTCAGTGCTGAGCTGGGTTGATGCTTGCACTGGATCAGCTTGCAGGTCTTTTCCAGCCCTGAGGATGCCGTGATTCTGATGGGAAGAGCAGGGTGGGATGGAGGAGAGGCCCCTGATGAGGCATTTTTCATCCTGTGTGATGGGATGTCTGATGTCTCTGTTCCCCAAACCGAGGCAGAGCCTCTCAGGGAAG